GGGGAGGAGGAGGCAACGTGCGGGCAGAATGATGAGGACCAGGAGGTTGAGGGAAGTTTGGGGACGGTGGGGGAGGGAGGACGATGGGGAGGCTCTTCCTCCCCCTTCCTCCTCCTCTCCTACTCCCCTTCTCTCCCCCTTCTGTCGTCCTCCGTCCTTTTTTCGTGTCCTGGCCCCGCTTCCCCTCCTTCATTCTCCTGCCTCCGTGGCTATTTGCCCTCGCGTCTCCTTCCCCTCGTATTCCTGCTCTCTCGTCCTCCTTGTCCCCCTTCCCTGGAGGGGATATGCGATGCCGAGCGGAGCACAGGGGCGCGCTGCCAGTTCGCGACCGGCCTCTTCGAGTCAGAGATCGGCATCCTGCCAGACTCGCAGAAGGGGGGGTGGAGAATCGAGTTTGGGAGCGAGGGGATGAAGGGGAAGAGGCAGGGAGCGGAACGGAGAGGAGGATAAGGAAACGCGGGATTGCGAGGGGAACGCGAGGAGGGATGAAAGGGATGGGGGGGGGGCGGGAACCTGGATATGTGCTATGTGTGTGGGGGGTGGGTGGTGGGAGTGGGGGCGGGAGAGGAGGGGCGGCAGTGGGGCCACGCTCAGGGCGAGCAGTTGGACCCAGCGGGCGTGATGAAGGAGAACGAGTACCTGAAGAGGACCTGCGTTGACGCCCCCTCCGCTCCTTCCCCCCCCTCCTTCCTTAGATGCTTGTTCTGAGGACCTTCACGGGGCCACACCTCAGATCTTTGTTGGACTCCAGCTCTACCGAAGTTCGACTCCAATTCGGCTCAAGTCCGACTCAGGTCGACCGACGTTCGACGCAGCATCGACGCCTGAGTGGAGCGAGTGGCTCCAGGAAGGTCCCCAGACCGAGCACCTAACTCTTCTATCTTTCCACCCCCATCCATCGGACGGAGAGAGAGAGTAATCCGATCCCGAAGCGGCAGCCGTTCGAGTGCGTCGTGGCCTTTTTTTTGCCGAGGACGGCCCCGCCGAGGCGCACTCTGGCCCCCCCTTCTTTCGCCCCTCTGGGCCGCCCAGACGGGGGCGGGGCAGACCAGGTCGGAGGATCGCGCCGCATCGCCGATGCATCGGCGATGCATGAGGCGGTTGATTCGGGCCGAACGATTGGGGGGGATAGGGAAAGGGGGGGGTACGAAATTTGGTGCATGCAGCTGGTTTCGGCCCCGCCGCCGTGCCCATTCCTCGATACATGGGCGCCTCGCGGCGCCGGGAGGCGCTGGGCAAATCAGCTACGTATCTGATTCTCTATCCTGCCCTTTGCTGTCTCCTCCTTTCGTTCCCTCCGATCGATGGGTCTGGCGAGGCGCTCCAGGATGCGCGCTTCGCCAGCACAAGCGATGCGGCATCGTCCACGACCGTTGAAGGAGATCATTCTGCCACGAACGTTTCGGAGCCACTTCGCATGAGCCCACCGCATCCCCGCCTCTCTCTCTCTCTCTCTCTCTCTCTCTCTCTATATATACATATGGGAGATCCCGGGCCCCAGGCCCCGGGCAGCGACCACCCTTGTATAGGCGTGGTTCCCTCCCCTGGCCGTCCCCAGGGGCTCCCAGACGGCCCCAAAACGGACCAGGACAGCTTGGAGGCGGGCCCAGGAGGCGCCCAAGATGGTCCAAGAGGGCCCCGAGACGCCCAAAGATCGCTCCAAGACGCCCACGATGGTCCCAAGACGGCTTAAGTGGCCTCCAAAACGCGCCGAAAGCCTCCAAGAGGCGTCCCAAGGGGGCCCCAAGAGGCAACATTCATTGATTTTTCAATGGTTTTTGAAGGTTGCTTGAATTCTCGCCTTTTCGGCGACCAGACGCTCCAAGACCGCCCAAGAGGCCCCCAAGACCGCCCCAAGACGGCCTGAGACGCCTCCAAGACGGCCCCAAGACGGCCCAAGACAACCCCAAGACGATCCAAGAGGCCCCCATGACGGCCCAAGGCTCCCAAGACGGCTCCAAGAAGGGGCCCATGTATAACAAAAACGCCCCCCCCCGGCCCCGGGTGCCACACCTCCCCGCCACATCTCGGGGACCTCCTGGGACCGCTCCCCTGGGCGTTCCGGGCAGCCTCCACAGCGCTCCAGGAGGGCCCAAGACAACTCCCAGGAGCGCCCAGAATGCGAAAGGATGGTACAAAACGCTCCCAAGCAGCCCAAGTCAGCCTTCCGACGGCTCTCGAGGCTCTCAGGTAACCTCCAAGAGACCTCAAGAGAAGTCCGAGAGGCGTCCCAGGACCGCCCGAAGAGGCCAACATCGTAGATTTTCATTGTTTAACAAGAACAAGGTTTTTGGCTTCTCGCGTTTTCGAGCTTCTAACGGTCCAAGAGCGCCGAAGAGGTTCCCAAGACCGCCCCAAGACCACCCAGGAGACCCTCAGGACGGCCCCAAGACTGGTCAAGAAGGCTCCAAGACTGCCGAAGAGGCGCCCTGGACAGCCCCAGACCACCCCAGAACAGGCCCCAGATGGGCCCACGAGCGGGAGCAGGAGGCTCCCAGGGACCTCCGAGAGGCCTCCGGGACCCCCCATAGGCCCCCAACACACCCCCGATCCCTGAGAGGCCCCAAAAAGACCCCGACGAGGATCCAAGACCAGCCCAAGAGAGCTGCGAGAGCCGGCCCGAGAGAGCCCACAGAGGGTAACATCGGTGATTTCCCATGGTTTTTCTAATATTTGTCGCCTTTCACTTTTACCTGCTTCCAACCCTCGAAGTTCGAGGATTTAGGAAAAAAAGGAATTCCCAGAATTACGCATTTTTTTTCAAAGTGGGACTCCTACTCGGGGGTCCTACACATCCCCTGGCATCTGGCGGGTACCGCACCTCCCGGCTTCCGGGAGGGAGACCCAAGACGCCGAAGGACAGCCCATGACGACCCCAAGGAGCCCCCAGAGCGTAAAGAACGGCTCAACACGCTCCCTCGCAGCCCGAGACACCCTTCCGACGGCTCTCCAGGCCTCCAGGAGGCCTCCAGAACCCCCAGGGGGTTGGAAAATCCCACGCCCCTGAGGGGCCCGGCTAACAAAACCCGCAAGGCACAAACAACAAACAGCGCCAAACAGCGCCGAGGAATGGAAGAACATGGGGATCCCACAATTTTCTTGTTTTCAAAGTTTGGCCCCCGGTCTACTCTTGCACAACAGACCGCAATTCAGACCCCCTCACCTCCCAGAAAAGAACCCAGGAAGCTTTTGAGGGCCCCAAATCGTTGAATACCTAAAGGAAATTAGTGATTTCTGCGTTTCCGCACTTCCCCTTCAATACGATTCCGAGGCTTGCGCAGGGCCTCCACGGGAGTTCCTGGACGCAAGAAGCGACCAACATGAGATGACATGAGTTAGCCTATCAAGCCTAGCTAGAACTTGAGCGCGCGCGAAGCGCGCGCGATGGTTCTAGTATATATTTATATAGATATATCGAATCAGCGTTGCCTAAGCAGAGGGGCCAGACAAATCCTGAGCCACATATCTCGAGCGCAATACTTGCCCATGTAAAGGCCAGGTGGGGCGGGTGGGTCGGTTTGGCTCTTTTTAGTTCGTGTGTTGTTGTTGTTGTTGTTGTTGTTGTTGTTGCTGTTGTTGCTGTTGTTGTTGTTGTTGTTGTTGTTGTTGTTGTTGTTGTTGTTGTTGTTGTTGTTGTTGTTGTTGTTGTTGTTGTTCTGTTGTTGTTGTTGTTGTTGTCTTTGTTGCTGCTGTTGTTGTTGTTGTTGTTGCAGTTCTTCTTTCATCCGCGCTCAGCACCCGAAACGGTTGCAATGTTCGTGTTGCAGTGGGACCGCGGTGTAAGATCGGGGTCGGTTCTGGTAGGGTACCCTAATGTTCTCCGTATTTGTTCAATGTTCTCGTGCATCCTGAGGAAGGGTATCCTCGACTGATCTTAGGATTCGGGGTGCTTTGGCCGGCGGAGGGTCTCATGTTCTTGGAGGACGTTCTTCTGGCCTAGGGCCGACTGTGTTTAGATGTAGCTTTTCTCTTTTGCAATGTAACTTCTGGTGCGATGTCCGCGCGGATTCCTTGTTTGTTCGGAATCTGCCCATGGGGGGAGGAGTCGAGGGGCGGGGTATGGAGGGCGTCGCTGGACTGGGATACAGTCGGACTGAGGCATCAGATCGGGTGCGATTCGGGGAGGGCCCCCTCGTGTTCTTCGTGCTTGTTGGATGTTCTTGTGCACCCTGGGGAGGGTATCCTTGGATGTTCTGTGTGTTTTGGTCGGCGGAGGGTCTCATGTTCTTGAAGGATGTTTTGCTGGCCTAGGTTTTAGTCGGGCATGTCCCTCTACAGGAGGACTATCTAAAAGTATGTAAAACAAATTTGCAGGAGACGATTTCTCTGTTATGTTCCGACTTTTTTGAACATTTTTGGAGCATTTCCTGATTTTCTCCAAACATCCGCCTGTAGGAGGACGTGCCCGACCTGGCCTATAGGTCCGACGGTGTGCGCGGGCAGCCCGGAGCAGGAACCGGGAGAACCTCGTGCTGGTGAAGCACCAGCTCGAGGCCAAGCTGAAGGACATGCAGGCCGCCTTGGGCGGAACAGAACAGAACGTCCGATCGAGCGTCCAAGGACGTCTCGTCCCGCTTGCGGGAACGGCGTGAATCATGCAGTGCGGGAAAAACCATGCACGGGTGAGAATCAAAAAGACACCCCTCAAGCCTTGGGCGGAAGGAGCTCCCAAACGCTCAAGCACAAATCGGCGGCGAGCGACTGTGGGAAGGGAGAAGGAGCAGGCCTTCTCAGAAGGCGGCGGGGGACTTCGCAGAAGCCCTCGCGCCTTCCGAGAAGTTTTTGTCTGTCTTCGGGGAGGGCTTTGGAAACTTCTCAGGAGCCCAGAGGACTCCCGGGCCTTCTGAGAAGGCCCGCCCCTTCTCATTTCCCCCCCTCGCTCGCCGCCCAGAAAAAACAGGAGGGGGCATCTACAGTTTCACGCAGCACAGGCTCGCAGAGCCTTGGCATCGTGTGTGCAGACGGCTTTGCAAGCGTGCTGTTCGCAGACTGGTCTCACAGCCCGCGTATCCGCTCACGCACTATGTGTTTCCTCTTGCAGATCCAGCTGCTAGTCTGGACGTCCTGCCACCGTGCCAGCCCAGCATGATGAGTGACGATTGTTTGAGGGCGCACTGCATGCCGTCGCGTGTGGCATGTCGTGTCTCCAGGCTGGGCGAGCCGTGATGAAGATGATGCTGTTGCTGCTGATGGTGACAACGAGGAGGAGGATGAGGAGAAGGAAGATAGTGTCTGTGATTATGGTGTTTATGATCACGATGGCGCCCCCGACTACGATGACGCTGACGATGACTTCGATGATGATGATGATGATGCTGATGGTGGTGGTGGTAATCACGATACTGAGGATGAAGATTCTGATGATGCTGATGATGATGAGGATGATGAGGATGATGTTGAGGATTATGTCGAGGAAGAAGAGGGTGAGCAGGATGAGGAGGAGGAGGAGGAGGAGGAGGAGGAGGACCAGAGCAAACCCAATATGCATTGACCGACGCGGCTGCACACCCTCCCGTCCAGGGTCCCCTCCTCCTAAGTCTACGCAAGGACTTCCTTTCCACTGCGGGTGCCCCTCCCTGGAGTGACGAGCGACCGGTCGGCCCGCCGGTCGGGCGAGGGCGCCTGCTGTAAAGGGTCTTCGTTCCACTGGAAGGACGCCCAGGGTTTCCCAGCCTCGAACGTATCCCTATCCCTAAGATTGACACGCCAAAAGGCGATGACAATCTCAGGGATTCGCCCTCAAAAAATGAGGGAATCCCTAAGATTGGCATCGTGATGAGGAGGTGCCCAGCATAGGGATAGGGATATGTTCCAGGCTGGTAAAGGGTGGCCCCGCTTTGAGAAGCACACGCCCCGCATCCCTCTGAGCGTTGCAGGATGTTCGAGTCGTTGACGCTTGCTCCGCGGAAATCCCACGCGAGAGCCCTTCCAAGGAGGCCCAGGGATAGCCTCGTTTTGAGAAGAGCATGTCCTCCATCCGTCTACGCGTCGCAGGATGCCAAAGTCATGGACTCCTGCTTCGCGGACAACTTTCGCGAGAGCCCAATTTCGAAAGAGGCTCCGGCCTCCATCCGTGTTAGCTGTTGCACAGTAAGGGAAGGCCGGGTCGTAGGGGTCGAGGAGTGGCCACGTGAAATGTCGATGGTGGACGTTGTATTCGAATGTGCGCGAGGCCAAGGGGGTTAAGGAATGTGCCGAGGAGGGTGCAGACCCTGGGGTATTCCTTCTCTGATGAGGGCGGCGGTGATATCCATGGCCGATCCACGATTGGAGTTCCACCGGCTTCCAGACCCTGGATTCCTTATCTAAGGATTCCCCGTCCAATGCCCCCACCGTCTTGGAAAGGACTTCTCATTCACTCGCGCAGCTAAGGACAATTTGGAAGCGACGTATGCACGGCGCAAGGTTGAGAGCGCGTTTGTGAGAACGACCCGCTTTCTATTTGTTCTTTCCTTGTGTAAAGCGATGGTGCGCGGCGCCAGCACAGCGAGAACCCCCTGATAAAGCCGGTTGTCGTCCACGCGTCGGCGCGATCTGAATTCACCTGTCACTTGAGGCTTCCTGCGGCGACGAGGACGATGAAGATGAGGATGTGGACGCTGTTGCTGCTGGAGGCGACGGCGAGCTTGGAAACGCTTGGAAAAATTATTGTAGCATGTGGGAGCGCCTGGGACCGTCCAGGAGTGTGCGGGAGCGCTTGGGGCATCCTGGGGAGCGCTTGGGTCTAACATCTGAGTCGGCGAGGGGTGCGCGAACCGCATCGATGTATTGTGCATTCGCAGGAGACGTCTTGCCATGTTTGGCCTTTGCGCCCGGGGGCCCTTTCGGGGCCACGGTTTGGGCCGATGTCGAGGATCGGCATCTGCGCGCCGAGTGCACCAGTTCTTGCATATGAACGTGGGGCTTGGGTCGGATGGCTGCACGCTGGATTTCACTGTTTGCGTGGGGTGGTGAGCGTTGGGCCGTATGGGTATGCACTGGATGGCATTTCTCCAGACGGTGATGAAGGTTGGGTCGTGTGGGCGCACACCGGATCGCATGTTTCGCGCAAGAATGTCGAGGGTGCTGGTCGGATGGCTGTGCGCCGGAAAGTTTCGCCGACAGTTGTTTGTGCATCGAGCGGTGAATGTTGGGTCGTACGGATGTGCGCGGGCTGATCTCATTTTGTATAAGCTGGTGAGTGCTAGCTTGTGTGGACGTGAGCAGACTTGCCCCCAAACAATTCGCTGAACGGGGTGGTGCTGTGATAGAATTTTGCTCCCGTCGAGGGACGCGCGAGCAGACGCATCCTCAAAGACAAAGTGCTGGTCCAGGTCGTTTAGCTTGAGACATTTCGTCTGAGACATACTCGCAATTTCCGTTTCTGAGTTGGCCGAGATTGCGCGTATCGCCTGAAACATTCTCGCAAGTCGGATTGCCGAGGCGCCGCGCGCGAGATGGTCGGGCCCGTTTCGCCCAACAAATCCTTTGGGCTCTGAGCTGCCGCGCGAGAGGTGGTCTTGGCGCGTTTTGCTTGCGACATCCTCGAATCTCTGCATTCCGAGCTGCCGCCCACGGGCAAATCCTAGTGACCGTGCTCCTGCCCGGGTTTTTCTTGTGGTTTCTTTCCGCTCCGCTCGTGCGGCTTCGTGCCACCTGTGAAGACGATCTTGCGGGAGGGCCGCTTGTTGACCCCAGGATCGTGTTTGCCAGCCGCTAGCTGCTTGCACCGTTTCCCGTATCGCTTATTCTTCCGCCCGTTCGTACCCCTCGGGGCGAGGTTACGCGCAGTGCGTATCCAATATTAAGATATCCGGACCACTCCCTACAAAGGCTGTTTCAAGTGCCTCGGCCACCTGATCAGTTTCCATGACCCGATGGGCACGGAAATTCACCACCGCACGAGAGTTGCTGACGAGTAAACGCTTTCCCTGCGTAGGCTTTCGCGACCCCTGCATGGGCTTCTTTCGCGCACAGGAGCTGACCAGTAAACACTACCCAGTGGCACGCCGATTATACGGAACAGAGACGTGGACGCTCACGGAGCCCTTTCGCAGCACCAGCGGCGGACACAGACACGCATGCTTCGCATGATCTTCAGGACACCGCGACGATTCGCAACGAACCAAGCAGATCCCGACAGCAGCCATAGAACTGCGAAGTTCGACGGCACGCAATTCCTACGCGCAGTCGCTACGCACTGCGGGACGACGACCACAAACGGTGGAGACAATGCGACGGACAAGGGAAGCATGGCCAGCACTAGGGCCGAAATCTCTGGCAAACGTATGTCAATGTTGGGGGTTGTGCTGCGCGAAACCCCAACGCCACGGTCTGCGCCCCCACTTTCCTCCCTTTAGCTTTTGCAATTTTTTCGACGTTCCGGCGTCGCCGCCGGGCTTTCTTGCGGCCGTTCCCCATGGCGATTGACCGCCGCCTCGCCTTGCCTCGCCTCTCATCGCCTCGCCTCATGGACGCATGTTCGCATCGGTGTTCGTTTGTTCGTTGTTTCCTTCAGCTTTTCGAATCAGCGTTGGATAAAGGGGAGTTCATGGGCAATCCTTTCTAGGACCCACACGTATGTGTATATATATATATATATATCACGACCGCGGGCTGTTTTTTCTGTCATATGAGGTAAATCGGATTATTGTTCCGGCGGTGGGTTGCAGAGTGCGTCACATCTCGCGATCATGACATGTCGCGTGTGCAGCGCCATGTGGCAACGCGGTTGCATGCGCAAGTAACAGCTCATTCACGTGGTGCTTTTCGGGATGGTCTATGACATTCCCGGGTGGGCCCGTTGTTTTTACGCCACCACCGTTCTGCCATAGTGTGGTTGGGAGCGCTGATTCGCGACCGCATGCGGCCGTACCTGCACTTGGTGGGGGCGTGCAATGACACCCGTGTCGGGGCGGTCGCACGCAGGGTTTTGTCTTCTCTTGTGGCCGCCCGGTGGTGATGTACATGGTGGGGCCCCTCGTTCCTGACGCTTCGCGTATCCCCACCAACCTTCCCGCGCAATGCGCGGTCTCCTCCGGCGGCTCGCGGCCCCACCGGCGGCTGCTTTTGTTGTGCTTTTAGGCTTGCGCGTTGCTAATTTGACAAGCCCGTGGCCCGGACCTCTCAGCTCGGCGACTGTGAATCCGCGTCCGTCCGCGACCAAAAAAAGTATCCCCACCAACCCATCCAAAAACAGACGCCCGTCGAGTTGCCCTGATCACTGATGTACAGCACCATGCGGCTCAGCAGTGAACCTCGTTCGTTTTCGACGCGGCGCGGGTGATTGGAGGCTCCTTCAGGAGACGACGACGACGAAAACGACGACGACGATCGGCGACGACCACGACTACGACTACGACCGCGAACTCGACCACGACAACCACCACGATCATGACCACGGCCACGATCACGACCATGCCCACGACCACGACAACAACGTCGACCACGACGCCTCCTGGAGCCATCGTGGGACCCTCTTGGGGCCATCTTGGAGGCCTCTTGGGTCCTCTGCAGGCTCTGTTGGGGCCCTCTTGGGGCGCCCTCGGGGCTCTCGCGGGGTTCTCTTCGAGGCCTTCTGGGCCCTTGTGGTGCCATCTTTTGGCCATCGATCAATAGAGGGGTCGCCGATTAGGGCCCCCCCGCCAGGACCCGTACCCTGGGGCCCTCTTGGGGCTCTTTTGGGGCCGTCTTGGGCCTCTCCTGGGGCTCACTCAGCCCATCTTGGAGCTGTCTACGGGCCTCAGGAGCCCACTAGACGCGAAACTGCGAGACGACGACGCTCATGGATTTTCCATGGGTGTTAGAGGGATTTCGGTCTACTGGATTTCTGGGGGCCTCCTTGGGAGGCTCGGTGGGCACCCGGAACCGTCCGTCCTGGGATGGTCTTGAGGGTTCTTGGAAGCATGTTGGAAGTGATCTTGAACCGTGCTGGGGTACCTTGCGCGATCTTGGAGGTCATCTTGGGCTCCGAGTCAATCTTGGCATCATCTTGGACCACCGTGAACGCTCCAGCGACTCGCGAGACGCCCTTTTGGAGCCCCGCCTGGTATTACTGGATCGTCGTATCCTTATGCCATGTTTATGTCGGCGGATTGTAGAGGGATGGTTATCCCAAGGTGGGGCTGGGGAGCGGGCCCAGCTGGATGCTCTCGTTAAACGCGTTTCTTTCTTCCAGGGACCGTCCGGAGCGATCCACGATTATGATTTGAGCAGAGCGAGCTCCTTAGACCCTTACGCCCAGAAGCCTGGTGGGATTGCTCCTCCGCGCAGTTTCTGTGCCCACGGGGAGCACGCGCGTACCATCGCCCGCGCGACGCGCCTCGCGCGACATGCACGCCGCGTCCTGTGCCTCCGCCTTCGTGAATGTAATGACGGTGGGACTCGAGTTGGCGGCGAGCGAGGGTGGGAAGGGAGAAGGAGAGAGATGGACTTCTCAGAAGGTTCGGAAGTCCCTTAGCCCCAGGAGAAGTTTTCTTGGCCTTCCCCGAAGACAGAAACACACTTCTCAGAAGGCGCGAGGGCTTCTGAGAAGTTCCGCCGTCGTCTGAGAAGGCCTTCTCCTTTTAACTTCCCCCTCGTCGCTCGCCGCCGATGGTTGGCTCGCGAGGGAGCCTCGGAAGCTTGGTTGGCTGCCTCCTCGTGGTTTACTCATGGCGCCGGATGCGGGAGCGAAGATATCGGCGATGTGTGATGTAGTAGGAGGAACATGTGATGCGGGAGTTAAGCTCGGTACCGCAGGTGTTCCGAATTTCGCGATTTCGGAGCGAACGCAAATGCCGCTGATGCTCCAAGTATGTTGGTGCGTTGCCCCTTCTGCCCCTCCTTTCCTCGGAAGCGGGAGAGCGCATTTGGGAGGAGGAGGGTAAGGCGAGGAGGGCCGTTTGCCCCTTCCTCTCCCTGCCCCCCTCGAGGAGGGTGAGAACGCGAGGAGGGCCGTTTCCCCCCCCCCCCCCCTTTCTTTCCTTCTCCCCCCTCCGCCCCCCGTGCAGGTCAGGAACAGGAGCCTGGAGCAGCAGAACCAGGATCTCCGGCCCCTCGTTTGCCCCTCCTTTCCTCTCTTCTCGCCGCCCTCTTCCCAACTGTCCAACTGGTCGGGCAACGGTGCCCCCCCCCCAACAACAACAAAAAATCGCCGCCCTCTCCCCTCTCGTCCAGGCCAGCTCCTGCATGGTGGAGGCACCGCCCTACCAGTTGGGAGGCTGGCGATGCCCGTCCTCCGAGCGGCAAACCGCGCCGCCTCTCCTCGCCCTCTGTCTCGTCAACTTGGCATCGCTCGGACTTCCTTCGGCGAGGACCATGGAGGAGCATCCTTGATCATTTGGCGAAAAAGCCACGCACGAAACCGAAACAAAACACAGGGAATGGACGTCCGAGCGATGGCCAGTGCATGGTGGAGGCACCGTCCTACCAGTTGGGAAGCTGGCGGTGCCCGTCCTCCGAGCGGAGAACCGCGCCGCCTCTCCTCGCCCTTTCTGTCTCACGGAGGGGGGAGACAGCAGGAGTCGCCCTTGGCGTCGCTCGGACGTGTGCATTTTTCCTTCGGCGAATACCATCGAGGAGCATCCTTGATCATTTGGCGAAAAAGCCACGCACGAAGCCGAACAAAACACAGGGAATGGACCGCCGAGCGATGGCGAGCCTGTGCCCCCTGCTCTGCTGGCGCCTCGGGTGGCTTTTTGGGGCAGCCCCACCGGTGGGCCCTGCCTCTGCAGGGTCGGTCTTCGGAAAACGGCCGGCCGCGGTTCGGAGCGTGAAGGATGTCTGCAGCCAGGTTCCAGGAGGGGAAAAACACACATACACAAGTAATCTTCCACTCCCAGGAAAATATAGGAACATATGGGAAGTGGGGGGGAAGACAAAAACCCAGAAAATATAGGAAAATGTGGGGAATCCTTTTACTCGTGTGTATTTATTTGTGTGTCCCAGGGCTCCTTCAAGGTTCAAGCCGCGATTGGACCGTGCGGGTATGGCTCGTAAGCGGTCGCGAAGGCACTTCTCTTTTTCTGAGAGCCGACTTCTTCCTTCGTTATCTGTCTGGACGAAGCTGCCCAGGCGGCGATGGTCATTGCATCTGAAGTCACCAACTGGCCGTCATCACGTCGACCTACAGTCTAATCCTCATGGTAAGGATGAGCAGCTTTCCAGGGTTACCCTTGCATCCTCGCCCCTTCGGCACATCCTCGGCCGCTCTGGCTGGCCGCGCCCCGCTCGCAAAACGTCGACGTGGCCTTCCAAGGCTCCTGCGTCCTCATCGTCCTTATCCAGCGAAGGAAGAAAGATGAAGTGGTCGCTCGGGCGGGCTAGGACGAGGATAGATCCGTTCCAGAGCGTTCTAGTATGTGTGCGGCTACTATTACCGTTACTATTCCTAAGTTTACTATTACCACTACTACCACTACTACCACCACCACCACCACCACCACCACCACCACCACTACTACTACTACTACTACTACTACTACTATTACTACTACTACTACTACTACTACTACTACTACTGCTACTACTGCTACTACTTCGGCTACAGCTGAGACTACTACTACTACTACTACTACTACTACTGCTACTGCTACTACTGCTACTACTACTACTACTACTAGTACTACTAGTACTACTAGTACTACTACTGCTGCTACTACTACTACTACTACTACTACTACTACTACTACTTCCACTACTGCTACTACTGCTACCACTACTACTACTACTTCTACTACTACTACTACTACTATCACGACTAATTTTTCATTTACTAGAGTTAAGATTTGTAGTCGTACTATTACTACGGCTACTACTACCACTATCACTACCAATACCACTACTACTAGTACTGATACTACTACTACTACTACTACTACTACTACTACTACTACGACCACTACTACTACTACTTCTTCTACGACTACTACTACTACGACGACTACTACTACTACTACCTACCACCTACTACCTACTACCTACTACCTATTACCTACTACCTACTACCTACCATCGACTATTTACTACCTACCTACTACCTACTACCTACTACCTACGACCTACTACCTACTACTACGACTACTACTCCGAGTCCTACTCCTACTCCCACTTCTACTCCCACTGCTACTACTATTCTTACTACTACTACTATTACTACTACTACTACTACTACTACTACTACTACTACTTACTACTACTACTACTTGTACTTTGCCTACTGCCTGGGCAACTGTTTCTTCTACTTATCTTACTTCTTCTTCTACTACTACCACCGCTCTCATACTACTACTACTGCTACTACTGCACTCATACTACGACTACTACTACACCAACTCGTATTACGAATACTGCTATTGCGACGACTACTACTACTACTACTATTACTACTACTACCACTACTACTAGTGCTACAACTACTACTGCTGCTACTTCTACTGCTACTACGGTTGCTACGGCTTCGGCTACCACTACTACTACTACTACTACTACTACTGCTACTACTACTACTACTACTACTACTACTGCTACTACGACCACGGCTACGACTACGACTACGACTACGACTACTACGGCTACGGTTACTACTACTACTACTACTACTGCTACTGCTACTGCTACTGCTACTACTACTACTACTACTGCTACTACTACTACTACTACTTATAATACTACTGCTACTGCTACTGCTACTACTACTGCTACTACTACTACTACTACTACTATTACTTCTACTACTAATATTACTACTACTACTACGTATACTGTTATTATTACTACTACTACTACTACTACTACTACTACTACTACTACGACTACTACTACTACTACTACTACTACTACGACTACTACTACGGCTACGACTACTACTACGACTACGACTACGACTACGACTACGACTACAACTACGACTACGACTACTACGACTACTATTCCTACTGCTACTGACTACTACTACTACTACTACTACTACTACTACTACTACTACTACTACTACTACTACTACTACTACTACTACTACTACTACTACTACTACTACTACTACTACTACTACTACTACTACTACTACTACTACTACTACTACTACTACTACTACTACCACCACTACTACTACTACTACTACTACTACTACTACTACTACTGCTGTTACTGCTACTGCTACTGCTACTGCTACTGCTACTGCTACTGCTACTGCTACTGCTACTGCTACTACTGCTACTGCTACTGCTACTACTACTACTACTACTACTACTACTACTACTACTACTACTACTGCTACTACTGCTACTGCTACCACCGTCTCCTGTGGGCCTCTTGGGGGCCTCTCGGCGGCCTCCTGGGGCCTCTCGTGTGTTTCTTGGGGCCTCGTAGGCCGTTCTAGAGAGCTCTTGGCTCGTCTGTTGCTTTCAGATGTCGTCTTGTGGGCTTGTTTGGGCCGACTTCGTACCTCCCTTGAGCGTTTCGGGGCTATCTTGGGGCTCCCTTTTGTGGCCCCCTGGGCTGTCTTGGAGCTATCTTGGAGGTCTCTTGGGCCGTATTGGGCGATCGGAAGCCCGCACAATCGAGCAATTCAACGTCCAGCAACAACCCATGAAACTCGCTGGTGACGACTTCGGAGGCCGTCTCGAGGGCATCTGGGCGGTCTTAGTGCACTCTTGGAGCGCGTTAGGGCCACCCTGGGGCCCTCTAGAGAGCCTCTCGGGCGATCTTGGGTTTCTCTTTGGCCGACTTGGGGCCGTCTTGCGAGCCTCAAAGGCCGCATTGTAGATGTCTTCAAGGCCCTTGGGGCCGTCTTGGGCGATCGGACACCCCAGCAGGCGAGAATTTTCAAAATCTTTCGACAGCACATAAATTGAACAGATGGGGCCTGTTTGGGGCCTCTTGGGCTGTCTCAGAGGGCACTTCGCCTGTCTGGCGCCCTCGGAAGCCCTCTTGGGGGCTCCTCCAGCCCGTGTTGGCGCCCTCCTGCAGCGTTTTAGGGCCTCCTTGGGGCCCTCTTCGGAGCCATTTGGGCGATCCTAGGGCCCTCTTGGGCCGACTTGGGGCCCTCTTGGGGGCCTCCTTGGCTGCCTTGGAGTTATCTTGGGCCGTATTGGGCGATCGGACGCCCCAGCAACCGAAACATCCAGCAACAACCAACGGACGTCCGCTGTTCTTCCCATCCCTTCTGTGTTGGGTCCTCCCTTTGTTGAATAGAGCGCTGTGCACTGTTCTGTCCTCCCTCTCCTGCCTCCTGCCTCCTACAGTCGGGGCGCTGACGAAGGAACCCTTTTCGTGTGGGAGGGGCTCGGTGTTCCTTGATTGGTTTACAGTTTGCCTCGGGTTTTCCATGGGAAATCGAAGTTCAACTTATGGGAAAAAGGGGCCTCGTTCCTTATTTAGGGTTCAACGCCCCGACTGTACTCTTTGCCTCCTGTCGCGAGCATGGCTCGCGTGCCCTTGCTCTTCGGGTTGTACTGTCGCCACCGCCCACCTTCGTGGACCCCTAAGAGGTCACGTGGAGTGAAGTTGCACGGGGATCCAGTTGATGCCTCGCGGCTCCTTGGTGGGTTGCGAAGTGTGACATCGTCGCCACTTTCGTGAGCTCCTGCAAGGTCGCGCGGGGTGGAGTTGTACGGGGATCCATTTGATACCTCGCGGCTCCCTGGGGGGCCTGCGAAGTGTGAAACTGATGCTACGTTCGTGGGCTCCTGGAGGGTCCAGCGGAGTGGAGTCGTACGGGGATCCATTTTATACCTCGCGGCTCCCTGGGGGGCCTGCGAAGTGTGAACCCGATGCCACGTTCGTGGGCTCGTGGGAGGTCCAGCGAAGTGGATTTGTACGGGGACCCAGTGGAAACCTCGTAGCTCCTTGGGGGACTGCGAAGTGTAAAATTGTCGCCACTTTCGTGAGCTCCTGGGAGGTCCAGCGAAGTGGATTTGTACGGGGACCCAGTGGAAACCTTGCGGCTCCCTGGGGGACTGCGAAGTGTGAAATGGTCGCCATTTTCGTGGGCCCCTGGGAGGTCCAGCGGAGTGGAGTTCTACGGGGATCCAGTTGATGCCTCGCGGCTCCCTGGGGGCTTGCGAAGGGTAAAATTGTCGCCACTTTCGTGGGCTCCTGCAAGGTCGCGCGGGGTGGAGTTGTACGGGGGTTCTGTCGAGGCCTCGCGGCTCCCATGGGGGCTGCGAAATGTGAATTTGTCGTTATTTCCGTGGGTTCTTGCGATGTCGCGCGGAGTGGGGGCTGCGAATCGTGCAGCTTTCGCCGTTTTCGTCGGCTCCTGGGAGGCCCAGCGAAGTGGAGGTGTACGAGAGTCCAGTTTAGACCTCGCGGCTCCCTGGGGGGCTGCAACGTGCGCAATTGTCGCCACTTTCGTGAACTTCAGGGTGGGTCTGGCTGTTGGCACGTCCGTAGGCTGCCTGCGATATCAGGCGAGTTCGCGGTAGTTGTCGCCGGCGCCACATTGGCGTGTGCGCCGGCGAGATATGCAATTGACGGCAATTTCTCGCATCCAAAATGGCAGGAGTTCTCATGGCGCTCGGCGCTGTCCCGTCACGCAGCGCTCGGTGGTGTCGCATCGCAGCTCGCAGGGAACCGCTGCGCCATGCAGTGCATGGCGCTGTCTTTTGTCCGCGTGGCCTTCCATCCTCAGCTGCCTCTGGCTCGCCATGCCGCCCCGTGCGCTTGCTACGCCCAGCGCGACGCGCTCTTTTGCTTTTGACTGCAAGGAACTGCTCTGCGCTCGGCGCTAGTGTTCTTACTGAACACATATGTCCCCCTTCACCCTCCTCCGTATGCTTGTTTGCGTTGAGCGGTCGCACATCTATTCGCCAACTGTTTAGGAACTATTGGGTATGTCACTGGGTAATTCGCCTCCTCGGGCTGTCCAGGAGGGTCTCTTGGAGCTCTCTTGGTCCGTCTTGGGGGCCTTCTGGGCCATCTCGAGGCCGTGTTGAGAGCCTCTTGAGCCGTTTTGGGCCGTCCTGGCAATTTTTCCTGCCGTCGTGGTCGCGGAGGCCATGTTGGCCGTCTGGAGGCCGAAAAGAGCGCCAAGGGGCAAACTCAGAAGGGGGGCGGTTTACGCGAGCACAAGCGACCCAGTGGGGGGGGGGTCGGCCTTGGAAGATAGTAAATAATTCCCAAGTGGGGCTACAGGAATATTCTAGCACGCCCAATCCGTGCAGGCGCGGTGGTGGATATGAAAGCCTCACGGCCGGTGTCGCCGACCCTGAAGGCGGGGCAGCGCCCCTCGGCCCCACGCGTGCACAGGGGCGATTGGGGGGACAGGGGGGCAGGGCAAGGTAGGCGCGCTGATGCCTCATCAAACATCCAATCTCTCCTTCCCATCCCTTCCCACGGTGCGGATTTTCCATTATCCACGAACGTGTGTCATAGCCGACGTGCGACTACCGTAGAAAGACCACGTCGTGTTATGCGCAATCGGAAAAGTGGAGTTGCGAGCGCAGGAGAAGGAGGAAGAGGAGGCGGAGGAGGAGGCGGAGGAGGAGGCGGAGGCGGAGGAGGAAGAGGAGGCGAAGGTGGCGGCTGAGCAGATGGATGGATGAGAAGAAAAAGGATGAGGACGAACCATGGGGGGGAGGGTCTTGAGTCCCCCCTCGTCCACATGAGGGACTCCCCCCAATGTCCGCCCACAGGGGGGACCAGGGAGTGGAAGGGGGGGGGGCAGTGGGGACCCCTCCCTTTGTCCCCGTGTCCATTGTACAGCATAGACCCGGGAGGGGAGGGTGAGGGCAGGGCGGGCCCCCCGCTTTGTCTTCCCTGTCTACAAAAAGGGGGGACCGGGAGGGGAAATGGGGGGGGCAGGGGGGACGCCTCCTCCGGTCCGTCTGTCCACGGGGGGGGGATCGGGGGGGTAATCTGACCGGGGCCCCCTCTGCCCCCCCCCCCCGACCACCCAGGTTCATACCCCCGTGCCGCCCCCCGTACCCCCCTGTCAGGGAACGGCAACAGGGAAGGGAACCAAATTAACTATGATACTTCTCGTTTTTGCTCGTTCTTCAATTTCCCTGGGACTGGCCACGAAATCGTCGTCGTCTTCGTCGTCGTCGTCGTCGTCACTTTTTTCTTTGGCACCTCCACTACCTCCATTCCTCCTCCCTCTTTTACTCTCCTCTTTCCTTCTTCTGTTCGTGGGATGGGAAAGGGGGTGGGGTGAGGGAGGTGGTGGTGGTGGTGGTGGCGGTGTGAGGGGGTGGGCCGCTCGCAGCGAAAGAGCGGACGTGCAGCGAAGGCAGCGCGGCACGGGTGCAGTACCTCTTGCCGACCGAGCCGCTGCCCAGGGCCTCCCAGGGGCCTCCATGGGGCTCCCAGGGGCCCCCCCAGGGCCTCCCAGGGCCTCCCAGGGGCCTCCATGGGCCTCCCAGGGGCCTCCATGGGGCTCCCAGGGCCTCCCAGGGGCCTCCCCGGCCGAGCATCCTCGGGCCCCCAGGGGCCTCCATGGGGCTCCGCGGAGCTCTCCCAGGGGCTCCCAGGGTTCCCATTCGGAGTCTACGCGCTCTCCCGGGCTCGGCCCCAGAGTGTGCCTGGCACGCCGCGCCCGGCCCTGCGAGGGTGGGCGTGCGCGGGCGTATGCCTGGCGTCCTGCGAGTGGCCGGCCGCGGCGCGGCAGGGCGCGAGCCCACGCGGCCTCCTCCTCCTCTTCCTCCGCGTCCTCCTCCTCCGTCTTCCGTCCTCCTGCTCCTCCTCCTCCTCCTCCTCCTCCTCCTCCTCCTCCTCCTCACCCCTCCTCCTCCTCCTCCTCCTCCTCCTCCTCCTCCTCCTCCTCCTCCTCCTCCTCCTCCTCGGCCTCCCGGAGGAGTACAAGAGGTTCTGCGAGCGGGGCCAGGCGGGGGACTCCAGCGGCTCGGTCGAGATCACGAGCCTGCAGCAGCAGCTCGGCGGCCCGGGCAAGCTTCAGAAGCCCCGCGCGTGGGCGGCGCGGGGGTCCCCGCGGACCTCGACCGGGCTGGCCTCTGCAGCCTCCTTGGCGTTTTCTCTCCGAGCCCTCGTCGCTCGCTGGCTGCCCCATCGGAGGTCCCCAGCGGGGCGGTGGCCACGCCGCAGGGCCCAGTCGGTGGGGATCCGTGGTGACGAGGGCGACTGGGGCCCCCGAGGTCCCCAAACTGGGCGGTGACGGGCTGCGCGGTGAGGTCTTCGGGGAGGGGAGTTCGAGGCCACCGCACGGTCTGTCGCCGCACCGTCTTCGGACTCCCAACTCCTCGCCCTCCGCCGTGGCTTGCGCTGGCCGGCCACCTGCGTTTCGCAAATGCGGCGCTCTGCCAGTCCGAGCCTTCCCCGAAGAGACGCAGGATGGGGGGCCCGACAGTACAAACCACCACCACCTCCCTCACCCCCTCCCTCTCACGGGAAAGAGGAGAGGAAGAGGAGGGTCGAGAAGGGAGGATGAATCGACGTGGTGGTGGTGTATATTCTTGGGCCCCCCACAGGAAACTGCTCCGAAGGCCAGGGGGGTCTCTGCGAAGTCTCCGCCGCCTTCTGGGAAGGCCTGCCCCGTCGCACTTCCCATCGGGCGCGCCGCCGATTACCGCCACCTCGTCTGAAGTCGGGCACGGCCCTCTACGGGCACGGCCCTCTACGGGAGAATAGTATGGGGACGATTTTTGTGAGCATTTTGAGCCATGCTCATTTTCATGTTGTTTTTCAATCCCCGCATTTTTCGTCGACGATCCCCCTGTAGGAGGACGTGCCCGACCTACACCTAATCTTAGATCGGGCCCGTCCCTCTACATGAAGAATATTCAAAGATAGTGAAACATAGTCCGGGGACGATTTTTCGAGCATTATTTAGCCATGTTCATTTTCATGCCTTCTTTTCCAACCCCCAGATTTTTCGTCGAAGATCCCCCTGTAGGAGGACATGCCCGACCTAAACCTATTCTTAAGTCGGGCCCGTCCCTCTACAGGAGGAACAGTCAAAAACAGTTAAACATAGGCAGGGGACCTTCGTGTGACGTTTTTTTTGTTTTGTTTTTTCATCTTTTTGATTTTTTGGGTAGGTTTTTTTTACATTGTTCGCTCAAGATCCCCCTGTAGGGGGACATGCCCCGACCTACCCCTAGTCTTCGTGGCTGAGCTCAGCCGCAGATCTTCGCAGCGTCTCCTCGGCTCCTGGGCCCTCGGGCCCAGGTCTGCCCCCGCTGCACTCCCCCGTCCAGCCCCCCCCCTTCCGCGGCTCCTGCCTCGTTCCCCCCCTCCATTCTTTTCCAGGGCTCCATTCCCCCTCGATTCCTCCGATTCGATTCGCTTCTTCTTCGGTGACTTCCGATTCCGATTCGATTAGACTTCGGGTTCCGATTTGGGCTCCGCTTCCTTACGGGAGGCCTATTAGCCTGCCGATGTCTGTCGATTCAACTTCTCCCGACTCGGCTGACGATTCCCGCCGATCCGATTCGTTTCGATCGCCGATCGGACTTATCGATTCGATCCTGGGCTCTCCTGCCTTTCCCTTGTGAATGCCCATCGGTCGTTGAGAGTGAATTCCCAGACTCCACTCTGAGTTTAAGCGTCTCCCTACTTCGATGATCGAGTGGCTTTCCCTTTTCCGTCCTCCTGAGGGGGCGGACGGAACCCAGTCGATTTTCAACGTTGTCCTACTTCTTGATTCTACCTACTTCTTCCCACCGATGCGTAAATCATGATCCGGGAGAAAAAAAAACAATCATATTTGCTCTAGGGCTGTAGGGCTATAGGGCTATGGGCCTATAGGACTATATGGCTATGGGCCTATAGGGCTATAGGGCTATAGGGCAATAGGGCTGTGGGATATAGGGCTATGGAGCTATATGGCTATAGGGCTATAGGGCTATAGGGCTATTCGACTATAAGGCTATGGGGCGGCTCTAGGGCTATAGGGCTAAAGGGCTAAAGGGCTATATGGGCTGTAGGGCTATAGGCTATAGGGCTATTGGGTTATATGGGCTAATTGGCTATTCGGCTATTCGGCTATAGGACTTTAGAGCTAAAGGCTATAAGGCTATAGCTATGGGGCTATAGGGCTATAGGTTTACAGGGCTACAGGGTTATAGGAAAACAGAGCTATAGGGCTATAGGGCTATAGGGCTATATAGGGCTACAGGGCTGGAGGGCTATAGGGCTATAGGGCTATGGGGCTATTGGGCTGTAGGGTTACAGGGCTATAGGATTATATGGCCATACGGCTATAGTGCGATAGAGCACCCGGGCACCCGGGCACCCCCGGGCACCTCTGGGCACCCCCGGGCACCTCCGGGCACCCCAGGGCACCCTTGAGCAACGGGGCACATGGGCACTTGGGCACCCCCGGGCACCTGGGCACCCAGGCACCCGGGCACCCGGGCCGGCCATCGAAATCGATGGCTCACCTTACCTAACCATATGAATCCGCTAGGACCCCTAGAGAGGCAAGCTCTGATTGGGGGAATTCTCCCTGTCGCACCCCGAGACAGGTCGAAAAGGCGGGCCGGCAGTTTCGCTTGATATTTCCTCACCATCTGCATGATCCTGAAGCTTTCACTTGGCAACAGCTTCGCAGATGGAGGGCGGGCGGTTCTCAACACGCGGCTCTCGCCTCGGCGCTGCGTGGTAGAAGCTTTGCGAGAGTCTCGCGGATGGAGGGTTGGCGGTTCTCAACATGTGGCTCTCACCTCAGCGCCGCGCACGTTGAGTGGTAGAAGCTGTGCAGGAGTCTCGCAGATTGAGGGCGTGCGGTTCTCAACATGTGGCTCTCGCCTGGGCGCCGCGCACGTTTGGGTGGTAGAAGCGGTGCAGGAGTCTCGCGGGTGGAGAGCGCGCCGTGTGGTTCTCGCGATTTGCGCCGCGCGCCTTCGTGCTGCAGACGTCGAGCGAGTTTCGCGCAGTGAGGGCGGCTCCTTTCAGAATGGGGCTCTCGCTTTAACGCCGCGCGCATTCATTGAACACTGCAAGAGTTTCACGTATTCGCATGGCGCACGTGCCAGAAGTGGCGTTCTCGAAGGAGTCAGGATTGTCAAGGCGCAGCAATCTATTCAAGATTATCCAGGCGAAGCAATTGCGTGGATTCGCGGTGTTCAGGGCCCAGGGATGGTATTCTGGCACGTTTCAGGATCGTCGCGCCGCAACAGTCAGGTTCCTTAGTGGCGCTGGAGTCCCGAGGATGGTGTGCTGGCACGCTTTTGGATCTCCAAACGGGTGTCTCCCAACGGGGCACTTCCCTCACTGGAAATGAATCCCTGTAGGGGGCCTCTGAAGAGGGAGCTTGGAGGGAGGGTTTAGTCCAACATCGTTGATGGGTCTTGGGTTTGAACTGGTCCCTCCTTCTCGTCCTCCTCCTCCTGATCCTCCATCTCCTCCGCCTCCTCCTCCTCTTCCTCATCCTTCTCCTCCCTTGCCTCCGCCTCCTCCTCCTCCTCCTCCTTTCCCTCCTCCTCCTCCTCTTTCTTTCCCTCCTCCTCCTCCACCTCCTCCACCTCCTCCTCCTCCTCCTCCTCCTCCTCCTCTATTTTTTCTCGCCACCGCTGGCGCGTCACCCTCGGGGCGCGCCCCGCGCCCGACGCGCGCGGCGGCGCGGCCACTGGCACTGGGGCCGGGGCGGGCCTGCCCTCTGGGCGTGTGGGGGGGGGGGAGGAGGAAGGGCGGGAGGGCCGTCCACGCCCACGCATGCCACCCGCGGCCTCGGGAGGGGGGAGGAGGGCGCCGAGGACTTCGAGGAAGGGAGGGGAGGAACAGGAGGAGGACGAGGAGGAGGAGGAGGAGGAGGAGGAGGAGGAGGAGGAGGAGGAGGAGGAGGAGGAGGAGGAGGAGGAGGAAGGGAGGAATAGGAGAAGGAGGTGAAGGACGAGGAGGAGGCGGGAGAGGAGGGCACACCTCAAATCCACGTCCACTCGGGGGCGGGGCCCGCGCGATCGGATCGGGATCGCAACGGCCGCCACAGGCCGCGGCGTGGCCAGATCGGCGGGGCCACTTCAACCGTAGGAACGGTGCACACCGAAGGCGCAGCACCGTGCCAGTAGCGCAGAGCACAGGGTGCCTCGTCGGTAATGGTGCACTCCATGTCTATGATGATGCATGCCTCGCTAAGGGAGTGTACGTAGTGCATCGTGTTTGTAAAATGTACACTTGTATACCCTCGTCCGTAGCACTGCAGAGGTTCGTAGTCTTTCCGGCTTCAGGTAAGCAGGTCTTGCTTTGCGTTTGGTGGTGCCACCTGGTTGTAGGCCGTATCGAAGGCCGCCGCGGCGCATGACTCCTTGGAGTCGTCGCTTGCCAGATTCTTAGTACTCACCCTTCCACTTGTCTTCGTTTGGAAAGGTGTTGTCCTCCCCAGTACTTTCCGTGTGCTCCACGTCGCTCTCGTTTTTCTCGTCGTCGCACTCGTCTTCCTCCTGTCGTCATAGCACGCGTTCGGCTGAGATAGGACAGGCATGGGCCGCTGGCCCATAGGTGTCACATTCTTGTGCGCCTCGTAGTGGTCGCAGGCGGACAAGCGCTCCGATGGCTCCGGAGGGACCCAGCGCAGGTACCATCGCAAGGGCTCCCTCGAGGGCGCGAAGTTATTCGCGCTTCGCGCTTCGCGGTCCTCGCTCCTTCTCCCCCTCCTCCTCGTCCTCCTTTTCTCCCTTTGGGGGGGCGGCGCGAGAGCGCGAAGTTATTCGCGCTTCGCGCTTCGCGCAGCGCGAAGCGCGAACTTAGGAGCCCTTGCATCGCGTCCCCGTCCTCGTGGTGGCGGCCAGCGCTCATGTCGATGGGCGCCGTCGTGTCGTGGGGCTCGTTGCTCGCGGGGCCCGCGAGTTTGCATCTGGCCCTGATGGCGAAGGCCTGTGAGTGCCTCCCCCTCGGAGGATTGCAAAAAAAAACGAAGGTTTTTTTTTGCAATCCAGGTTTTTTTTTTGCAATCCTTCGTTCCTGTGAGTGCCTCCCCCTC